GATGGACTCGTCAAAGTATACGTTGATGCGCTCCAACTGGAGGTCAGAGTCACCCTGGTAGGTCCCGGTTGGGTCGACTCCGTGCTCGTCCGCAATGACCTCCCAGAACTTGGAGCCGATCTGGTTGCCGCACTGGCCGGCCTGACAAGACACAATTTCGCGCATGGCAAGTTGGTGGCAATTTTAGCAATTCGCTGTTGTATGTGTTTAGCGTTTAGCTTTGGTGTGTATAAAAGAAATCTGAAGAACTTTATAGGAGGATTGTAACGGATGTGCAACAAGGACAACAACAAAAGGGGGGAGGAAGAGAGGAGTAAAGATAGTACATACGTGGAAAGTCCATGTGTGCATTATGTATGTGTTGAGGGAAATAAGAGTAAAATAACTATTTTTGTAGGTAAAAATAACAGCTTAAGCTAAAGGGACATACAAAACTCAGTGTATATATTTTTTCCCTAGGCATACAAAAGCGAAATTCATTGTGAATTATATCTAGTAGGGTGACTATATTTATATTCCCTGACATTTTCCTGTATTGACAGAATCAGTGTAAGTTTCATGCATTTAAGTATTACTATTCTTTTCGAACGAGGAATGATGTAATCAAACGCTGGCACGGCGCGGTAGGATTTCTTCTATTTGCTGTAGTTTCATGTTTACACGGAAGCATTTTAGATTGAGAGATTTGACTAATTATTTCGACACTATCACTACGTCGACCTTCTACAGATTTGTCACTTGAACAAATAATGTAGTCAACCGCATTATTATCATTTGTGCTCTTAGTGGATAATTGACTAGATGTCCTTGGTCGCTTGTTATTCCTTTGAACCTTGACTGTAGTAGTATTATTCCTTTTTTCGCGTTTTTGCTGTTGCCGCGTCAGCGTAGTGTGATCAGTTTGGGATACGGAAGGTGATCTGCTTGTACATTGACTAGCTACTTTTACCTCAGCTTCCCTATATATTTTAGTCTTATGACTTGTATCAGAAAATATCGTAGCATCTTTCGATTCGGATTTACACCGTAATGTAAGGTAGTCATTAGTGAACATTGAAGATACCGCAATAGCCATATTGTTTTGGCCGGTAGAGCCATAGCAAGACTGTAAATTATTTCTATCGAAATTTTCACCCAGGCCGTTTAGAGTCTTTTCAGGTTTACTGACATGTTGAGGCAAGTCATCCGTCATACAGTCAGTAGTCGGGAATACCCAGATGAGATTTTTTACTATTTCCTCTTTTGTCAACCCGTTGTACATGGATTTTAATGAAGATGAAAACTTGTTGTCCTTGACCTTTGAAATATTATGTAGCATCCTTGAAAAATTCTCCCTGCTTTGAATGCGAGGTTTCACAGCGGGAACTAGTTTTGGCATTGTTATAGTATACTCTAGATAATGAAAAAATCAATACACAAAGGAATAGAATAATAAATATGTGAAATAGTAGACATCACTTGAAAAATATTCAATAAAATACAACAATTCAACAGGTATCTTCGCTTGAATATTATGATTGTTATCCGCATTATAGTTTCAAAATATTTACAGAAACTGTCTTGTTCGCCACGGTGCGCATGAAAAGAATAATCTTCTGTATTCGCTAAGCCGCTTTGAACCTTTCTTTTTTCTCATGCTTGGATTCGACATGTGTCTGAACAATCCTATTATATTATAAATATATATATATATATAGGCATCGACAGGTAAGTCTAAGCACATTAGATATACCCAAGCATGAGATAAAAAACAGCCTGTGAGGTTTTATCTTATTTATTTAAGTTCTCCTGTGACTGTGGACGCTTCCGAGCATGCAATTTTGCCTTAATATCCTTGGTCTTTTTTCCTTGATCCTTCTTCGCGCGACGGAGCGCACGGCGTTCCTTTGGCCGAAGCTCATTCGTCCCGGCATCCACATACTTATGCCGAGAGCCTCGGTAGAGATCCTGCGGCGCCAGGGCATCCTCACGAGACGCCGCGAAGTTGCCGACGCTTTCCAATGCGATGGCGGGCGCCTGGCGCTCGACCGCGCGCACGCGAGCTTCCAACTCCTGCTGGACCGGCTTCGGGGTGAAGTAAAAATTGCTGAGCGCGTCCAGGTGCTGGGCCAGACGGCGCCACATCTGAATCGCGCGGAGCTCGTCCTTTTCGATCTCTGTCAAGGGCTCAGCCTGGGTGGGGGCCTCACCCTTGGCCTCCTCCGCGGCGCGCACCTTGTCAAGATAGGCCTTCTCATAAAGATCCATCAGCGAAAGTTTGGATTTCGCCGAGTCCAGCACGGCATCGCGTTTGGTCGTGACGAGGGTGTCGGGAGTTGTGAGGGAGGTGTGCCGCTCAACGTCGTCGAATTGTTTCTCGACAATTCGACGTCGAATTCGATCCTCAAGCTTCGCGGTGAACTCCGCCGTGATCACGGGCAGCGCCTTCATGCCATAGTCGAACTCCAAATCCTGCACGTCAAGGAGAGCCTCACGGGGTCGTTTATTGGCGGCGGTTTCACCCGCCATCGCCCAATCCGTGCTGTAAAGCCGCTTCTGCTCGAGATTCTCAACGTGTTTTTTCTCAATTAGGCGCTCCTTCTCAAGTGCGGTGAGATTTGGGTCGGCTAGTGCTTGTCGAAGTTCTTCGTCAACGTCGCTTTCCGCGGCGTCTGGTGAGCCGTCTTCCTCAAAGTCGCCCATCTCATCGTTAAGCATATTCCCGCGGGCGTGGGCTCGCGCGCCATCAAGCTGCTCATCAAAAAGGTTTTCATCGTTTTCGTCTTCCCGATCGCCATCTTCGTCTTGGCTGAGACGATCAATCATGAGATCCTCCTCATCTATAGCCTCCAGACCTTTTCCGTCGTCGTCAAAATCTTCGCCGTACATCTCACGCAACGCAGCCAGCTCCTCTTCGGCGGCTTCCGACGAACGAATATCGTCATCCTCGGCATCTGCCTCCATGATTGCGCGTTTATTCCGCTTCTGCGCACGACGCGCGTGTGAGTCGTCCTCAAGACCCAGCTCCTCCTCTTCCTCGCTATTCAAAGAGCCTCGTCTTTTCTTTCCATCACCGCTGTTCTCCCAGTCATCATTGTCGTCGTCGTCGTCGCAACCCTTGCCAAAAGCAAACCGCCAATCCTCCTTTGTGGTACCTTTACCAGGGACTTTGCCGTTTTGAGCGGCCACACGACGCTGCCGTTCTTTCAACAACTGCGTAATTTCCTCGTCCAAGTCACTTTCAACCACCGATGAGCCCGAAGAGGCGCGAGCAGATTTATTTTCCCCATCCTGCTCCGTTTCCGCCTCATTGCTATCCGCAGAGAGCGGCGCACAGTGTGGATTCGTCCCTATTGAGCCTTTTTCGCGAGTTCGACCCCCCGCCGAGCCGTAAAATCGCTCCACAGTCCGCACGTTATCCTGCAAACGGCGTAAAACCGGACGGAGGAGGACAGACAGTTGGCCCCAGATTTGTTCCGTCGTGATGTGCTTTTCCCGGCTCGTTTCAATAGCTTTTGCGTGAAAGACAAGCCGTGGAGAGTGCAGCCCCGCGGCGAGGGCGTAAAGTGCGGCCAAGGACTCGCGCGAGATCACCTCACCCGAGCGCTTAGAGGCGATCAGACGATCCGCGCGGGAGTCTTCGAGCTTCTGCGCCCGGCTGCTAAGCCGCCGAAGCTTCTGTGGGAGAAGGGCCGGGTCGGTGGGGGTGGGGGTCGCCATCGACGATGGGGATGATGGGACGGCGGCGTCACCTCGGTCGGGGTTCGCCAGGCGCACTTTGGGAAATTGCCTTTGGTGTCACAAAGGCGTGTGGGTCAACAAAAGGGTCCTAAGGCCTAAGAGAGAAGAAGAAAAATACTGAAGAAGAGGGTTGGATGGGTTGTGGCTCAAAGAAGGGAATGTCGCATCCTCTGCGGTATTGGGGCCCTCTGGACAAGGTTAGTAAACACCCCAAAAGGATGGCCTTCCTTCCTTTCCCATTCCTATACACACACAAAAAAAAATATATAGAAATCATATACGTAATTCGTACCCATTTGATAACAACTACGAAAAAAAGCCCAGTTAATTGATTTCTTTTTAGAATTAATATTTATAATAATAATTTAATACGAATTCTAATATTTCAACTTTTCTTCAGAATTGTAAAATTAGAATCAAGATGACGGCAACTATCAAAAAAAAAAAAACTACACATGTTGCCTCTCGTCCATACCTCCGCTTCGTAGCTTTGAATGCTAGATCATTACGTGTATTAGGACGAGGAAAAAATTTGCTCAAACTGATGTTTACAGATCTTCGTTATCTTCAGAATTTTCCTCCTTAACTTCTACCTTGAGGGACGGCTTGCTACTCTCCTCTTCGGTGGTAGGCGGCTCATCAACCATTTTTTTTTTAGCAGTTGCCTGAGTTTCATTTTTTTTCGCAGCCAACGCCGCCCTTTCCTCCTTAACGATCTCCAAATATTTGTCATCATCCTCAGGAAGCAGCTCCTCATCCAAGCCGATATCGGCCCCACCGCGGAGAAGGCGGTCAATCCGCTTCGCGTGCATTGAAATGTTCGACACCGGGAACTCCGCCCGCATGCTTGCGATTTCGTACAACACCCACGCAATATCCTTCGCCATCTCATCATCCTTATCGATGATAAATCGCTGATAGAGCTCATTTACGAGAGGATGGCGGTAGTTTACCTCCACCACACGCCTCACCTTAGGTATCTCGCGGTCCAATCCGATGGCTTGACTGCGAATGATATTCGACATCCTCGCCGTTATGTGGTGTTGGTTGGAGGATACGATAAAAGCCTCGGTGGTATGCCGATGCGTTAGGATGACTTTGCTCACCTCGCCAGGTTCTAAGAATGTGCTCAGGTGCGTTAAAAAGTCGCTATACATCTCCGTGCGTTTCTTTGCAATCGCCCGACGATCCTCATCAACGTCGCCCATGCGCACCTCGTTATGGACCAGGTTCAGGAGCTTCTTACCAGCAAAATCGGTCATATGCCGAACAAAATACTCATCTACCGCATCCGTCATGTACAGCACTTCATATTTGCGATCAAGGGCATCTTGAAGGACAGGGGATTGCTTAATCCGCTCAATAGAATCCCCTGTGAGGAAGTAAATCCCTTTTTGGTCCTTTTTCATCCGATCGACGTAGGTTTGCAGGCTTATAAATTCATTCTCGCTCTGGGAGGACTTGAAACGCAGGAGCTTGCTAAGGCGTCCACGGTTAACGGCATCGTTAATAATTCCATATCGAATGTTCAAACCAAACTTCTCCCAGAAATGCGAGTACATGGGTTTTTCCAATTTCTTCGTACCGCGGCGTTCGGGGCTTTCAGCCTTAGCGGCATCAGTTGTGTTTGTGTACTTCTTGAAGTTCTCTTCATGAGTGGCGATATCGTTTATCATTGAGAAAATCTTACGCACGAGCTTTTTCCTTATCACACGTAGGATTCGGTTTTCTTGTAGATTCTCTCGCGATACATTCAGGGGAAGGTCATTGCTGTCGACGACACCTTTCACGAAGCCAAAATAGCGTGGCAGCAGTTCACGGAACTCGTCTGTGATAAAAACACGACGAATATAGAGCTTGATGCTGTTCGATTCGGTTTCCTCCAATATCGACGTTAAATCATCCTCGTGAGGAATGAAGAGTATGGAGTCGAAATCCACCTCCCCCTCGGCTTTAAAATGAGAATAGTAGATAGGTTGCTTACTATCTTTGAAAGTGGCTTGATAGAAATCGATGTACTCATCATCCGTTACGTTGCCTAGTGGACGGGTCCAGATTGGTTTGTTCGTGTTTGCATGCGTCCAACGAACCTCGCGAATTTTTTCGACCTCCTTTTCCTCATCTTCCTCGACCTTCTTTTCCTCATTCTCCTCTGTGGTTTCGTTTTCACTATCTTCGGTTGTGTTCGTTGACGGTGAAGGCTTCTCCACCTCCACTACCTCGGCGACGTAGATCGGGTAATCGATAAACTCACTGTACTGCTGGATCACCTCCTTGATGAAATCGGGTTTAAGGAACTCCAAGGCGTCCGGTTTGAGATCAATGACGATTTCGGTACCCCTCCCCAAGGTATTCCCGCGGGGGTCTTCATATAAAAAGTACTTTCCGTCACCTGATGACTCCCAGACATACTGCACATCGCTATCATCGCTCTTGGAGGCCACACTCACCCGATCCCCAACGAGAAAAACGGAATAAAACCCCACACCGAATTGCCCAATTAGATTATTGGAGGAGTCTTTAGACGCGTTCTGAATTTTTTCAAGGAAACTCCTGGTTCCTGAGGAACCAAGGGAACCGAGGTTTTTATCGAGTTCCTCCTCCGTCATGCCGACACCACCGTCTTGGATGATAAGCTGCTTCATTTCTTCATTAAAATGGATGCGAATATCCATCGTGGGTTCATCCCCACTCGCGTTCACCGGCTCCTTTCGGGATTTCAAATATACCATACGAATTTTACTCAAGGCATCGCTGCCGTTGGAAATGAGCTCCCGTAAGAAAACTTGGCGGTTTGTGTACAAAGAATTGACAAGAATGTCGAGCATTTTAGATACCTCTGCTTGGAAGGCAATCGGAGTGCCTTTTTCAGTTGCCAACACATCGTGGCTGTGGAAACCTAAAAGGATGACCACCACCAGTAGTGCATACCACAGCTGTCTGCCGTTAAATGGTTTAATCATACGTATTTTTTGTAGAAATATTCAGATTGTAGATTTTCGTTAAGCTAATAAAGAGTTAAAACAGAAAAAAAGAGTATGGATGTACAAATATATATTGAGGCAAGCGTAGTGAGGGATGGTTTGAAGTTTATGGACGCCACATCAGAGTTGAGGGTGGATCTCGAAGACATATTCAACTGAAGCAATACACGTAGTAATGCGAATGAGCTTATACACAGAATAAACACCTATTTTACTCATTCTGCGTTTTCCAGAAAGGTTGGCACGAGGCTGTGTGTGGACTTTTGAAAATGGAATGCAACACCCAAAACATTCTTAGGATGATGACAAGTATAACAAATAATAAATAGATAAATTTAGAAAAGAAAACATCAATCAAAGACATTTGAGGTGAAAAACTATGAAAAGCTTAGTTAATAATGTATAATTTCCGCTGAATTATTAATCTGTTAAAAATTCACCATACCTGAGGTTTGTGGTGATGATTATTAGCCCTCCAATTGAACCGAATGATTGAACTCTGCCTCATGGTTTATTTTGAGAAATGCCTGAATTTCATAGCTTTTTTGCGCTGATGAAGTGTTTGAGGCTTATGGGTTTACGGGTTCTGCATCGCGTGTGGTAGCCGAAAAACTAGTCTGTATAGACAAGTAGCTTTATATAAACACTTTTACACGGGACCTGCTATTATTCATCAAATTTAAATTAATATAATAACTACGGTTTGTGGGAGGCCTTTGGCAGAAGGAGAAATTAAAAAAAAAGACTTGAATATTAGGGAAGCAAATAAAAAACAAACACTTACCCATCTTGAGCATAATAAACGAAGTATCCATTTTTTTATCCTATATTAGTCAGTATCCACTACTCCTTTACCAAATTATACTCACGTACATGACCTGTAGTAGTGGAAAAAGTACCTCTGAGGGTGAAAACGTAGTGGCCTGACCACTTCTTTCATTTAAAATCCATTATTTGATTGCAGGAAGAGGTAAACAAGAGGTCAATAAAGGAGAAAAATATAAATTATTCAGTATGCTCGCCTAAACACAAAAAAAATGACGTTCTAGTAAACACGTCACCCAAAGAGGAGTTAACATGGGCGCAGAAACATTCAAAAGAATGGTAATGGTAAGTTGTAAATTGATAAAATAAAAATACATTAAAGCTTCTATTGCATATTTCGGACAAATTTACTATGTGGGAAACTTCTTTAAATGCAAAACACGATCAATCAACAACCTATACATTTCTCTCATCGTCTCTACCTCTAGAATATATATATAGTGAACACATAATCTAGATGATGGACCAAGACTTTGATATAAATCCTACCATAACATATACGTATTCACATAAATACCCTACATCTTTTTTTTCACGCCATCACCCGGCCATCCTCTTCTTCCACTGAATTTATCCCCCCTTGCACCTTATCATCGCGTTTGTCATGCCGACATACACCTATGCCATTTAGAATCCAAACTTATGTTACACACCTCCCCACACCCCACCCTGTAGCTATACATTTGCTTGTTCATTTTTTACACTTCAACGTGTTAAGGTTATAATTGTTAGGGTTTACATGTGTGGGATACAGGACAGATAGAGGAGAGGAGGATGCAAAGGTAAAAAGGAGGAGTACGTAGGGGGGGGGAGAGGAGGAAGAGGGGGGGACATGAAGGGATAAAGTCTGTGCGTCTGTGTGTGGAGCGGAGGAGAAGGA